TTCCTATTCCTATTTCTATTTAAGTTACTCCTCTCCCTCATCTCCATCTCTTTCGTTCTCTCTCACGTACTCATCCCCTTCCTCCTCTCAAACTACTTCATCACTTTTGTCCTTGAGCTCTTCTTCACCACATATGTCCTATTTTTATTCCTCTTTACTTTACTCCTCTCCATTATCCCCTTCATTTTCGTCCTCTCCCACGTCTTCATCAACTTCCTTCTCTCAATCAACCTTATCACTTTTGTCCTCTCCAACGTCCTCATCACCTTGCTCCTATCAATCTACCTCAACACATTCATCCTCGAGCTATTCTTCACCACTTTCTTCCTTTTCCTATTCCTCTTTACTTTACTCCTCTCCATCATCCCTATCACTTTCGTCTTCTCCCACCTCGTCATCCACTTCCTCCTCTCAATCTACCTTATCACTTTCGTGTTTCAGCTCTTCTTCACTACTTTCGTTCTATTCCTATTCCTCTTTACTTTACATCTCTGCCTCCTCCTCATTACTTTTCTCCTCTCACTCAACCTCTATCTCATGATCACTAATTCCTTGTTCTCTATTATTTTCTTCTTCATCCTCCTCACTTTCTTCCTCTCCTCCGTCTTCATCACTTTTTGTCTCTCTATCGTCTTTATCTCTTTCCTCTTCCCCTACGCCTAGCCCTTCGAACTCACATTTTCTTACCCCCTCGATTCCACCATTTTCTACCTCCTCGTTTGTTCCCTCACTCTCTCCCATCTTTAGTTCACATTTCCTCTCCGCTCCGCCGTCCCACAACCGATCGTTTCTCTCCCCTAAATCAAGTCTCTTTGTCGGCTCGAGAAATGCTAAAATCTTTCTTTTTCCTCTTGTTCCCTTATCCACCTCTCCCCTCCAGTACGGCATCGGTTCGCGCGGCTACACGCCCGGCCTTTTCTACGGCTCCTCGACCAGCCTCCGCTCGACCGGCAGCAGCAGCGGCGCTTGTGGCCTCGGCAGTCTCAACCAACGCGCCTACACCTCCAATCCGTCCGCTTCCGGCTCCACGACCTCCTCCTTCTACTCCACCTCAAGCTCGGCCAGCAGCCCCGCCAGTAGCCTCGGCGTCTACGGCTTTCGTCCAGGCGGGGCGCCCACTGGCGGCGTCGGCGTCGGCGTCGGCGTCGGCGGAAGCTGCGGCAGCGGCGCCGGCGCCGGATACCAACGACTCGGCACCACGGGCGCCCGTCTCGTGGCCGGTATTGCTACCAGTCAACTGGGCCGCCCCGGCGGCGCCGACCTCTGCCCTGCCTACACCGCCACTTCGCACGCTTCAGATCCAATCGTCGTCAAGCCAACGGGTTGGTCGGCCGGAGAGACGCCCATCTCCACCGTCAACGGCGACGTCAACGGCGACGTCAAATCGACCGGCAGACGAGGCAGTCTGTCGCGGAGCGGGACACATGAGTCGGCGACCGAGGCTGCCTCGAGTGCCGGCGAGGAGTGCGACGAGCCCGAGCCGACGACGACGACGCCGCATCGGCTGTTCACCAGCCGCGGTGTCTCCACAAGCGATGAGGCTGGCGGCAAGATGAGAGGCTCCCGCATCTCGGCGCTGCGCACCGAGAAGATGGACTGTCCGACGGAGATGGTGTCTCGTCCGCGCGTTGACAACCGTTGTCAGACCAGCGATGACATCATCCTGCCCGCGGCCAACCCGGGCGTCTCGAGCAGCGTGGCGGGTGCCACGGCGGCTGGCGGGGGGGTCTCGAACGTGGTGGCACGCCGGATGAATCTGGGCGGCCGGTACCTGAGCCAAATGTCCGGCGGCAGTGGCAACACAAGCAGCCTAAACTCGCCGACGCCGACGCGCAGCTCGTGGCGCCAGTCGGTCTACGGCGTGGACTACAGCGGAGGCCGCGACAAGGCTGCGGGCTCGGCGACCGGGACTCGTGACGACGCGAGCGCGGTACCGGTCAGCGAGTCTGAGCGACGCCGGACGGAGCGCGAGCGCCAACTGGAGCTGGACCGCCAGAAGCAGATCCAACTGGAGATTGAGCGCGAGAATCGTCGCCTGCGGCAGTTGGAGCGGAAAGCGCGCTGGGAGCAGGACGAGGCGAAGATGCGCGAGTTGGAGGAGGAGATCCGACGCCGGAAACAGGCCACTCTCGAGTTGGCCGACGAGGAGAAGCGGAAGCTGGACGACGCCGAGTGGAAGGCGCAGGCCGCCCTGCTCCGACAGTCCTCCTTCCGGCATCCGAGCCAGCGCCGCTCGGGCGCCGACGCCGAGGCGTCGACGTCGGCGGCGCCCGACGCCATACAGAAAGTGGCCGACTGGCAGCGCCAGAACTCGATGCACGAACCGGCCGCAGTGACCGGCCCGCCGGTCATGAGCCACTCGGACGTCTGGCTCGCCTCCACCTCGACGCCCGGTCCGTCCGTCTCGGCGGCCAGGTCGGACGGTCCGCTGCTGCGTCGGCAGACGTCGGCCGGCGTCGGCTCGTCTCACAGCCAGGCCCAGGCTCGACTCTCGCGCGACTCCGACGCCACACTCCGCCAGACGCCGAGCTCGCCCACCGGCGTCGCCAATGGCGTCGGCGTCGGCGTCGGTGTCGGCGCCGGCGTCGGCGGATCACCGTCCGAGGCGCCGAGTGCCGTCGACGAGGCGTCTCCACGTCGTGGCTCATACGTGGGCGCGCACACAGACATCGACGCCCTCCTCAAGGAGCGCTATCCCGTCAGGCCGGAGGCCACAGCCGGCCCCGAGACGATGAGTTCCGCCGGCCGGCGAGGCCGTAGAGATTACGCCGCCGGCGAGGAGTACATGACGGACGCTGAGGCCGGTGAAGATGCGCCCTCCGCAGCAGGACAGCCCGAAGAGACGACGCTCGTCTACAAGTCGAAAGTGGCCAAGGAGATCTTCCTGAAGATGCCACTGCCTCTGCAGAATCTGGTGATGCGCATGCATCGGCGAGGCTTCCTCACCTTCGAAGAGGTGCTAGCGTTGTGCCGGAACGAAAACCACGAGAGACGGTTCACGGAAGAGGAGGAGAAGAGCTTCAAGGGATACAAGACAGCGCAGCAGATGCTCACGAGCCTGGGCATTGACATCACCAAGGCAAGTGTACAATAGAAAAGGTCGCATGAGCCCACAGAAAACCATTGAATTCACATTAAAAGGAAGTATATGTTGAATAATATATCAATAATGAATAATAGCTCTACTCAGCCTAGGTCGCATAGTGTGATGAAGAGCTGATTGCTGAATTTTTCCACATTGACAAGAATGGAGGTTTTGACGATATTCTGGAAAAAAGGAAAAGGTCTAAAAGAAATTCAATACGTAGATGCTTAAATCTTTTATTCAAGATGTACTGATAGCCTCGAATCCTATTTGCTATGAATATACATGGACGTTATGTTGTCGTATATATAAGACGTATTCATCCTATTTCGTTTATGGTGATAAGGAAACTGGCAGTTGATTTTTCCTCCAATACTATGGCTAGATCTAACGTTTCTATTCAATTTCGCATAGTCCTTTGCCTTCCAAAACTGTATTCCCATCCAGGATTGACTGCAGTTTCGACCTCGCCTAGGCCTTATCAACACCCACAGCGAGACTCGAGCCATAGCTTGACAATGCAGTGTAGTGGTTAACGTGTCAAGCTTATACGCTGTACTGTTAAGGTTCGAGTCCCGCTGAGAAGGCTGATGAGACTTAGGCGAGTCGAAACTGCAGTCCACTTTCGCCTGAATGGGAATACCTTTTGGGAAGCAGAGGGCTATGTGATATTGAAAGCAAACGTATGAACTACTCATATCATTGTGTAATTATTAAATTACGAGTTTCTTTTTCACGCTTATATAGGATGGATACATCTCATATATACAATCCACTTATAGTCTCGAAAGCCTGCTATCGTTTCGGTATGACTTCGTTTGTTTGACCTACCCAGCTCTGCGTCCTCTGCCGTGGCATTCATGATGATTCCACACAAGGTCTCTCCATTGTTCTGACCGAGTTGCGAAAACAAGATCAAATCAACACAATAAGGCTAAAAGAGACTGCTACCAGAGAAAAGGCCACTCCATCTTGGTCGTCATAGCTACAATATGTTGTCATATTTATGGTGACTCGAATCCTTTATTATGCCCATCTTGGTTGCTTAGCGGTTTGGTTAGTGATGAGATGTATTCACCCTATT